GTATATGGGGGATACAAACCTGATTAAAGGGAGTCAAGCAGGTGATGCGAATAAAAAGAATGTTCTTTTGTTTCACCGTAAACGTTTTGATTTAAACATCATTAAATTACTGTTGGACCCTGAACCCACGAAGGACAAGGACTAAGACAACTTCGACAGATATACCAAGAGCTTGCTCGAACGGAAAATTTCGGAACTTCCGGGGCTTCAAGCGGAACGCAAGTAAACTAAAGATTAGCTTATGAGAACGAGCAAAATACTTAGCAAATTATATATATATATATATATATATATATATATTACACTGTCTTGAGAACAGGTATGGTGCCAACGCCACAACAATATTAACAATAACAAAAATAGGGGATAGGTTAAGCAACTGCATAAAAGTAACAGTCCTCGTCGACCTTTAGCCCTGGAAGCCAGTTGTGCCATTACACTCGCACGTGCGACAGATGTTATGAAACGGATTTTGTTGGATTAGATGAGAACCCTCTTACTACCAGCACTGGCCAACTGTCCATGAGGCAAGCAACATCCCATATATAGAGGAACGCCAATAGGCTATTGGTATGGTTGCCTTGAGTTGAATGCATTCCAGATAATAGACGGGGTCGAATACGATCAGTTCGTTATCAGTGAGCCTAAGTGGTACAGAACTTCAGCGACAGCACTGACGAAGGAAGACTAGCACACACGCCCCTCGAATTGATGAAAACCAAACGAGTTGTTTTTAAACCGCGTCCACGAACCTTGCCCGGCAAAATTGATCAATATGCAACCAAATGCATTAGGTTATATTTCCTGCTGTTGGTCGGAAAAGCAACTTTTCAGTGCCTTCACTGTTAGACCTCCAAGAATATGGAAATCGTCACACTCACAAAGTAGTCACCTAACAACTCACATCTCCACGTGATTGAAAATCCAGATGCTGCGCTCAGAAGAGAACTGAAAACGTACACTCATATTGAGTCTCACTTTAGATGCCAATGTGATGGATGCAATGGAAAACCGCATAAAAGAACCTATGATCACAACTTGGCGCACTCGACGTCTAAAAGAATAAAGGAGGACGAACAGACTACCAAGTGAACGAGGTTTTTGATTGGTGTGTGGTAATAAATGAGATCACGGCTAGTTGTGATTGAACAATAAGTCAAGAAGTTAACGACACAGATGACGTTGATTCAGTGTTCGTGAGGAGTTTTGTGGAGTGGCGATATTCAATACTGCTTGCCGATGGTTGGTTGAGTAAGTGTCATCCGCGAATTGAGCCCCGCTTGATCGGCTCCCGCAATATGGATCATTATTGATGAACAAGACTCAGCAATTAATCGTTCGCAATGACCTGAAATCTTGTTTTACAATAATTGTTTCTTTCAAGTCTTAGCGTCCCTCAGAAATGGAATGTACGACGATATTTGAGTCTTTCTCAAGGGTCCTAAACTCTGATTTTTCAGCGAGTTTGGATTTTGCGTCATGCTCAGATAACTAAAGAAACGAGTGGTTGACGTCAAGACTTCTGCAACGTTCAGAAATTCCAATTTGAAATGAAAAAATATTGTTAACTGGATTAATAAGAGTGAGGCCCTCCGATATTTTGCAGACGGCACCATTTACTGAATGAATCTATTGCAACTCTTGATATTTTGGTATTTTAGATCGTAAGGCAGGTGGAAGTAGCTGGTTTGTCAGAAGCATCAATTTTGTACGGTGGAAACAGTGAAGCGAACTTTACTGATCGCTGCCGAACCCACCGTGCATACAAGGCAACTGAAAATACGTAAGGTGGTCAGGGATTGTCTATTTTCAGGGAGGAGGAAAGAGAGCGAACATTTGTGGTCAAAACAGAATTCAAGTTTACATACACACCATTTCTAGTATTCTGACCTGATAGATGTAACAACAAGAACGCCACTGCTGTCGGTAAGTGACCAAGTCATTTAGTGACTCCAAGAAACCAGTTACGGGGTCTTTTGGATCCCAATCCGAAAAATGGGAGCTTCGCGGTCAACCCAGTAGAAGGATCCTTTCAGATCAGTGAACCCTGAGATCATTGGTCGACGATGTGTACAGTGTACCACAAGGACTTGACACAACGTGAAGATTTGTTGGGTACAACTGCGACCTGGACGAAATCCGGCTTGCCGTTCACGGATAATACCCTCACGTAAGGGTGTCAGATGTCGATGGAGGCTAATAATTTGATGATGATTGGGATAAAACTTATCCCGCGGGAGTTCCTCAATCATTGGGAGATCCCTTTTTGGAGATGGGAACTATTAATGATTTGCCCCGAGGTGAAGAAACGCGCTTTCGTAAACAAATATTGTTTAGTAAATTATTGATAGAGCTTACGAGGTTATCGATTCCCCCACATTTCGAAATGGATGGGAGGAAGCCCATCAAGTCCTGTTGATTGTCCCATCTTCAGGACATGTTTGCAAGATTATATTTCTGATTCTGTGGGAGGTTCACATGACGCTAACCACTGAGAATCAGCAACAGACGAGTTCGTTTGGTTAGCGTCATGCGAACTGAACGGTTCGTTGGAATACTTCACTCGCCAGTCAAGCCACTGTTCCCCATTGTGAATAGCTTGTCCGTTTTTATCACACATTGTTTCAATAAATGGGGTTCGCCTACCTCCGTGTTGCGTATCAGTTGGAACAGAATTTGGCTATTTACTGATGCAGCTGCTACCTCTATTTTACTAGTTATTGTTGCCCGTGTTCTTTCTTGATGTTCTTCGTGAGCTGACAATGCCGACGCTATCTACACCGGTTTTGATCCTGACAGATCAGGATTTTTCGTTTTTCTCCATTAGGATTCGAACGAACCTGAGACTCAGATCCACAAGCAGCGTTCGCTACGGAGTACAATGGTCATCCAATCTGATACCATTGTTTATATACCCTTTGATGTGCCTCTCCAAAACTACCACCGAACCTCGCCCCACGATGCGCATCCCAAAGATCCCAGTTAAAAATCAGTCGCACACAGTGCAAGCCTTTATTCGATAAAGCCAATAAAACGTGGATTGAAAAGAGAAACGTGCGGTATATATCGGGTTGTAGTCATTTGTCTGGAATTGAGGTTACGAGAGGCTCGATTAAGAGAGCGCACGATTACGCACCTTAGAGAAAACGCCGACACGCTCTCACGATGGCCGCTAATCCCGATCCGTTTCAAATGCAAAACCACGAGAAATATCAGGGAAAGGTTAGACGTCCTGAGACACACTTCCATGCTGCATCGTGCCTTGTTCATGNAAAGATCACGTGCTGTTTGTTGGTTTTGTTGGCCACCAGTGAGTCGGAGGGTGAAGTGCATCCGACTCAACACAAGTGATCTAATAGGATCTACAGTCTTGGACAGAACGACACCAATGATAGTTCAGTGATACATGGTAGATTTGAGTTGGCTTACCGGTTACACTGGAACGTCACATCACCGTCCGTGTCGGAATTTAATACTGCACAGGAGCAGACGGTGATCTGTGCAGAACTGCAGAAGTCGATCACCGTTATCTGCTGGTTGTCAGGGGGAACACAGGAACCGTCGAGGCATGCTTCTGAAGTGCTCAGTTATCCAATCCGGTCGTTAAAATCACCTGCAAGCCCAAACATATCGCGGCTTCGACTCATCCATTCAGTGAATTTGTCGTAGAACTGATCTGTGTATGTTAGAACCGCAGTTGGGTGGTGCAAGTGCTGAGATGATGAGCAAAGACCTTTAGGTAGTACTTCCTTTTCGGACGCTGATTGACCCCTGGAGGCACGTAGCACATAAAGTACTACTGACAGGGATCCAATAGACTGGTAACGACTACGTTCTACTAATAAATAAAATACCCAATTCGCGCTGAACTGCTAAGTGAGCAACGTTGTCACCCGATGGGCCTCAGGGACAAATCAAGCGCATTCAAGTGACTAATGGTAGTAGGATCGTAGATTCGCGTCTGATGCGCAGCAGAAGTCAATTTTTCAAGAGTCCGCTGTACGCGCCAGAGAAGCTTGTTGACCCAACTGCATCAGAACCTCACATTGAATGCCTTAGATTCCAGTGGTTGGAGAGGTTTCAGAATCTGCCATTTAGTTGGTGAAGTGCTAACAGCACTACTTGGCAACGAGCTTCAGCGAGAGACGAACAAGATTTACGATGGAATGTTACGGGTCGGAAGAACGGGTAAAAAGAGAGTATGGAAGGGTATGGAAGAAAAAAGTTAAATAAAGGTTGGGATATCTGAGCATTAGCCCGATTATCATAACCCGATGGCATGGAAACACCAACAATAATTATCCTGAATGTGGTGTTGTGTAAAAACGGAAGAAAGCGGTTCAGAAAGAATAAAAATGTTCTTTGTGTCTGTATGTCATCGTGAACTATGACAACTGAAGGAAAACTCTACACACCAGTAACTTAGCGCAATCAACAGACATGCCGTTTGCCAATCGCACTTACATCGATCAAGATTTCATTTTCGCAACTAATTACTCAAAAGAAACCTAAACTTGTGTAAAACACCCACGACAACGTATGCAGCAATCCGTTGATCAATTTAGACTATAGATGCGAAATNTCGAAGTATTCTTGAGAAGGTTCAACATTCCTGATCTATCAATCTCAGTGGAATCGTGATTGGCCATTTTGTTTGAAACTAAAGCTTACTTGGAGGAAACATTTAAGTCAGCTTGACGGAGTATGGTATTTAAGGTAGAAGCGGCCTACCCGTTCGAACAGGGTTACGAAAAAATTGGTCATCACTGTAACACTTCAGCCATGTTTAATAAATACCTACCTTATACAACTGACGAAAGGCGATCTGGCGTAGTGCTAGTTGCGCTAAAACAGTGACTTGTTCACGTAGTTCTAGTGAAGTACTGGCTAGAAGTGAACAAGCGAAATCTCCATCATCTTTAATCGATTGCTCATCTGCTTGAGGCATCTCTGACGATTTCAGTTGTAGCAGCAGACCAGACGCGATCGCTTCGAAGAACCGACGGAAAAGTCGTGACGGGCTAACGTAAGCACAACCAGGGGTTATCGGAGGCCCGGGTCGCACGAAGGAACGGGGTATGGCCTGCGGTGAGAACGGTGCTCTTCCATCTCCAGAACGAGCGGGTGACACTGTTCTTAGTTCGGTGATCAGTAAACGGTCCAGTAAGGCGAGGATTGCCTGGAAACACAAATGCATAAAAAATGCAAGATACATGCATGATATCGAAAATTGAAACATATTTTCAAAATAAGAGCGATGTTACACGAGTTTGGTCAATACCCATATATATATATATATATATATATATACCATAATCTGTGACTAGCAGTATTCCGGTGCTGAGGGGCTGCAAGAGACTCTGTTCACTCCAGATCAGTTGTGATGAAATCCAACACGTAAGTTGGGTCTTATCAGGTTATTTGGGTTGTTAACTAGCGATTCAAATATTCCTACCAATGCGATACACGACGGAGATCATTTATGACTCAAGAATATCGTTTGCACTGAAAATAAAACTGATTAGGACGCGGCGCCAGTTTATGGAAGTTCCAGTAGGCTACTTCAAATCGTACCAAATCGCACCGTCTGAAATTTAAGCAATACCACGTAAATCTAAGACTAATCGGATCATCTGCGGGAATTCTACAGGTTTCGCAATAAACGCAGATCAATAGGAGACAACAGACTGTGTGAAGTGTTGAACAGATTAGCTATTGAAGTGGTGGATGGAGCAGTAATGGGCAGTAAGTAGAGAATGAAGCACTTAGTATTGATTCGGAAGCGGTTACAGGTTATTGTGAAACAAGAAAAAAAAGACATAAGTCGACCAATAGAGTCCGGAATTCAAGGGCCGGTGTATCAGTTGGGTGGTCTGCTTAATAAAGCGATGAGTTTAAGACAGACAGAAGCCAGTTCATACCGGGATGGGAAACCATTTCGTTGAAGAAGACAGAAATACAGAGGTAGCTGTATAACAAAACCTAGAATATATGGCAGTAACTAAAGAAAAAAGATACGGTGTGTGAAAAAATATAGTCTAGTAGTACGCGAATGACCATCACGAGACTGCTCCTTGACGTGGTGTGATAGCTTGTGCACTTCCCTGAACAAACGAGCTAAACAGGATGGCTTTTATCAAGCCAAAAGATCCTATCACGCCTGGAAGATCAATGGTTAGAGGTCGGACGAAGTCCAGTCTCCTGGTCCTCAAGGTTAGGGGTTCGACTAGAATTTGCGTTTGATTAGGTAAAATATTGTTGGAGGAGTAATTGACCAAACTAAAGGGACCTCCACTTCGCTTCATTCGCAGTTGGCGGCTATGTACATGTCACAACTAAGGGGTTTGGTTGAAAACCCTAATCGTTCTCTTGCTTAGTCGCTGGACACCCTGGCAGTATCCGAACATCAAACCCCATAGCATTGCGAGTTTCAAGGCGATCAGTAAACTTGTTGATTTGATTGATTGATTCATTGACTGATGATTGATGATGATTCACTGATTGCTGATCATGAGAGTGATTGACTGATTGATGACGACGATGATGATTGATTGATGATGATGACTGATCATTAGTGATTGACTGATTCATAATGAAGATCATGATCGAATGAGTGATAATGGCGTTGATGATTGATTAACGATGACCGACTGATGATTGATCGATCAAGATTGATAAGGACTGATTGATGATCGTCAATTTGATTCATGAATGACGTGATTGCTGATGATTGATTGATAGTGATGACTGATCAATTGATAATTATTGACCGTATAGTGATGATTGACTGTATAATTGACGGATGATGATGACTGATTGATTGACAGATGATGATGACTGATTGATTGATGATTGACCGATTGATGATTATCCAGGGATTGATAATGATGACGATGATGATAGAATATTCGACGATGACGATGATTGATAATTGGCTGACTGATGATGAAAATGATGATTGACTGATTGATGATGATGATTCACTGATGATGATGACTGATTGATGATGACGATGTTAATTGAATGACTATTGATCATTGATTTTCTAGATGACGATTGACTATTGATCACTGATTGATTGATGAAGACTGACCAATGATGATCCATCGATGACGACAATGGTCATGATTGATCATTGCCGATTGACTGAATAACGATGGAGATGACGACTGAGTGATTGATGATGATTGGCCAACTGATGATGATTGAAATGTTGATGATAACGATGAGGGTTGATTGATCGACGATCATTGATTTCCTTGATGGTTATTAATGATCGATTGATGATGATTGACTATATGATGATTCACTGGATGATGATCACTGATTCGATTGATGATTCATTTGATAGATGATGGATGATGAATGATTGATTGATGAATATTGAGTGATTAATGATGATGATTGATTGGTGAATATTGACTGATTGATGATCATTGACTAATGAAAATGATTGACCGATTGATTGACGGATGATAATGACTGATTGATGGATCATTGCTTGATGATGATTGGTAAACTGTTGATCACGATGACTGATTCTTTTGATAGAAGAAGAATGATCGATGTTATTAATTGACTGATTCATGATGATCCACTGATTGATGATGATAAATTATTTGACGATGATGATTAATTCATGGTGATGATTGAAAGGTTGATGATGACGACGTAGATTGATTGATCATTGATCATAGATTTCCCACGTGATGATTGATTATTGATTGATCATTGATGATTGCCTGAATAATGATGATTACGATTGATTGATTAATGATGAGCGGCTAATTGATGATGATTGATTGACTCAGGATGATGACTGATTCATTGATGACGAATGATTAACGATTGATTGATGATTGACCCAATAATGATGATCGACTGACTGATGATGATGATTAAGAGGTTGATGATGACGATGATGGTAGATGGATCGACGATCATTGATTTGCTTGATGATTATTGATGATCATTGACTATATGATGATGATCACTGATTCGATTGTAGATTCATTTGATAAATGAATGATCGATGATGATTGACTGATTGATGATGATTGACGCATTGATGTAGATGATGACTGATCGATTGACGATTCATCGCTGATGATTGACTGATTGGTGATGACTGACTCATTCGTTGAGGGACGATGACGACTGATTGCTTGACGATGGATGACTGATTGATGATTATCGAATAATTGATGACGATTGACTGATTGACTGACGGATGATGATGACTGAATGATGATGATGACTCACTGATGATGATTGACTACTTGACCGATGATGATGACTGATTGATGATGATGATCGAGAGGTTGATGATGACGATGATGGTTGGTTGATCGACGATCATTCATTTGCATGATGGTGACTGATGATGATCGATTGAATGATGATGATGATGACGACGACGATTGAATGATTGATGATGATGATGTTGACCGAACGATTATTGATCAGTGACATTCTAGAGGATGATTGATTACTGAACACTGATTGATGGAAGACAGAACAATGATGATTTAGTGATGACGACAATTATCATGATAGGTCATTGCTGACTGACAGAATAATGATGCAGATGACGATTCATTGATTGATGATGATTGAAATGTTAATGATAACGATAATGATTCACTGATCGACGATCATTGATTTCCTTGACGGTTATTGTCGTTTCATGAAGGACGATTGAATGAGCGTCGCCTAATCAAATCAGACAGGTCGTCTCCTTCGAATGACAGTTTAATAAACAGCTTCTTCTTCGGAGCTGGCTGAACGGGCTCGCGTTTCATTTTTTTCTTCTAGGTTTCTCTCGATGAACCTTTCAGGGTATCTGTTCCCCCTTAGAATGTTTTTAGTCTGGTCAAGTTCATCCGCGAACGTGGATTCGGAACAGATCTTTCATGAACGTGAGACAAGGTACTGGATAAGGTTTCTCTCTTATCCAAGGGGCATGAAACTGTGAAAGCTGGTGTACTGTCCGGTCCACATTTCTTTTCTGCATGCCCTTCTTTCACGCAGCCCATCACTTGTCCTGTGTAGAGCTACATCAAGGTATGCTAGTTTGTTATCTTTTTCTGCCTCCAGGTTCGCGATTACGTGAACTATGCTTGCTTGATTGGGTTACCAAAGATATTATAAGACGGGCATACCTTTACGACCCATTCTAGCAATGGTCAACTCCCCATATCACGGCACCCCGAAATGGCTTCCTAAAATTCTAGACCCAATCCGACGGCTAATACCCAAACACAGTCTGCGGGATACTTTCGAATTCGTGAACACGATCAGAGAATAGAAGATTAACGACCGTCAAATGTTTTATCTAGATGGGGTTTCATTGCCTACGGATGTTCCGCTCATGGAAACGGTTGATTTCATCTGTATCTATACCGAAGAAAATGGAATCGATATAATAGTACCGGTAGGAAAACTAAGAGAACGGCTCCTGAAAAGCACTTTCGATGTCCACTTTCTGTTCAACGGAGAACTGAGTTGTCAGAGGGATGGTGTCGCTATGGGCTCTCCATTAGGACGAATATTAGCATGTGTTCATGGTCAAACTGGAGAACTCAGTCATGGAATCCGAATTTAGAAAGATAAAATTCTATAAGCGATAAGTTGGCTATATATTTTGCATAACTGATAAAAAGATCGACCTAACACACATCACGCGAACGTCATCATCATTATCATGATCATCAATCGATTAGTCAATCATCATCAATCATTCAATGAACATCAGTCAGGCAATCATCCGCAATACATTCAATCACTCATTATTCAAACATCATCCGTCATCCTCAATCAATCAATCCTCATCTTCGTCAATCAGCCAACATCAATGATCAATCAACATCAATATCATCCTCAATCAGTGGATCATCATCAAATCATAAATGATCATCGATCACGATGATTGACTGATTAATGATAAAGATGATTGATCGAGGATGAAATGTCGATTGCTGATGATGATGACAGATTGACGATGACTGACTGATTGATGATGGATCGACTGACGGTGACTGACTGAATGATGATGATTCACTGATTGAGGATGACAATGATGATGATTGGCCGATTGTATATTGTGTATAACTTTTGCAAGCACTGGAGCTCACATTTCTGTTAAAAAGCATA